GCACCCGTCCTCCCGCCAGCCGGGGCACCGCTCCGCCGTCCCCGGTCCGTCAGCCTCTCGGGGCCAGGGCGCCCTTAACCAGGCCCGGCTGGAGTCAGCAGTCCTGGTAGCAGACAAAAGGGGGGAAGCAAAACCGGCGGAAGGAAAACGCTGGTCGTAACAAACACGTTTTTGCAGTGACTGCTCGAAGAAGCTTAAATTTTAAGGTACTTGCCGCAAGGGCTTGGGAGACTTCTGTCTTGCTTCTCTGTACAGAGAAGATATAATGCTGGAAACAGAGGAAACATAGAAACGTATTAAACATACACACTGACTTGCCCGTTTTCTCTGGCTTTCAAAAAAATGCCGGGTGACTCCTTTCATAAACGGGGTGGAATAGACCAAACAGCTATTATGCTTCATGTTGGTTCATTTTCTGTTGGTTTGCCTACACTAAAACTTTGCATCCCCATTTAACTCGGGCTGCTGAGACTGACAAATTCACTTGAATTATTCGCTCATACAGTTTTAACTGCTGTCCCATTTTTGCTTGAGTCATGCACACACACTTGTCCAGCAACAAACATTTGTGTGTTTTGACGCACTTGCCTAGGTTATTTGCCTTTAGTAGAGGGGTTACATATTGAGGCCTTCCCATGGTATTTACCATTCGTTTCTTGAACATGTGGCATATCCAGTAAATAAACTTTTAGTCTCCATAGACCTGGCAGGCAGGATGTACTACTAATCTCCCTGCTTCCTATAACGCCCGAGTTGAAGCATCTATGGCTGGTCTGCAGTGTGGAGCAGAGCTGATGGGAGCTGCAGATGAAGCTGCTAAAAGTCTGACGAGACTTGCAGCTCTTGTTTAAAATAGGCTTGTCTGAACAAGCTAGCTACCACCTCTGCAGTACGCAAACCTAGTTTAGAATGACTACTCAGTGTGTCAGGCTTCATCTTGCTTCAGAACCAGAGAATTCCCCAGTCAGTCAAAACTAGTATTTCTCATAGTGATCTCCTTTTTGGAACAGGGTCTGGGTTGTTTTTTTTTTTTAAGATGCTTTCTAGTTGCTGCAAATGAACTTGCTTTTGGGCAAAGAGTGTAGGCCCTTCTGGCAAGTACAGTAATGCCAGCAGGAGGGCATAATTTGGTATCAAAAGAGCATTGGATTTTCTGCTTTTGTGTCTTGCCACAAGGTTCAGTTTCTTTGCCTGCAAATGAACTTGCTTTTGGGCAAAGAGTGTAGGCCTTCTGGCAAAGTACAGTAATGCCAGCAGGAGGGCATAATTTGGTATCAAAAGAGCATTGGATTTTCTGCTTTTGTGTCTTGCCACAAGGTTCAGTTTCTTTGCTACTGGATTAAATGAGTCCATGGTCTTTGGAGGACCGTGCAAATTATTTTTCTTGGTTGTTAGTCAATACTATTCCTAAATCTGTGTAATTACAAGGTACATATGCCTCATATACAAGATGACAGCCTCCTGACAATTCATAGTGTGGGTGTCTGGCGTGTTCCTGCTTGCCTTGTCAGAATATCACTATCAAGAGGCTCCTGCTGGGAGCAAGGGCTGACCTAAGCGATCTCATGCGGGAGAGCCTGCAGACAGCCAGAACTTGCATGTAAAGCTGTTCAGAGCCTTTCACTCGCCTGGCTGTTTAGTATTCACAGTGATCTCCAGGAAGGATACCTTGGTAACGAGTGCTGGGATGCCCAGAGCAGGCCTTCAAAGCCTGTTTTTTAAGGGTGAGGTTTAAGCTTTAGGTTGCCGTAGGTGCCTGGAGGGCCACAAGAAAATTCTAACAGACACTTGGGCTCATAATAGCTGATTTCTGTGCTGAATGTGTTTCTAAGAAGCTTTGCTTTCCTGCAAGAGTCCTGTTGCGTACCAGCTTACACCCGCATTACCTTAAAAACATGTGTTTCAACATAGGAATGGGTACTACTCAAAACTTCTGCCCTGCTACTGGCTACCACGGTTCCTGTTTTTCAGCAGTGTTGCTGGGATTGCCTTTTGCGGGTATTGCTTGTTCTACCTACCTTGATAATTATATCAGGAGTGAACTTCATGGTAGCTTGGAGAAGGTGATGATTTCCTCTTTGGCTGAAAGCTGAGGAAATGGCCTCCAGGAATTCAGGGGAGACTTTTTTCCTGCTTTTTTTTTTTGTAATTGCTTTCCTACTCATCTCTCCTCATCTAGTCAATAACCTTTCTTATCAGCAGGGAAAAAAAGCTGAATAGGGTTTTGATGCCTTCCTCCCCCAAAAAAGAGACCAAATAATGCAAAATAAAAAAACCCTCAAGTCTAGCTGGCAAGATCTGCCTACAAGTGATATGCAAATAACTCTGTACTTCTTGCTGGTTTATGGTGTGCAAATAATGGCCTCTTACACAACAGCAGTAAAAAGGCAGTTAGTTATGTTTCCTGTCATGCTTCAGATCTGAATTGAAGCTTTGGACTCTCAGATGCATAGGCTGCATGGCATAAACGGCTGTCTGTCAGGCTGTAGGTAGCAGAGGACATGGGCCTCTTGGGACTTGAAGTCACTGGTGTTCCCACACTGGTACTGGTCTTTGGGGTGAAGGTAAACTAGTCACTCCATGCATTGCCCCCTTTCCTGCTCAGTAAAGTGGGGGTGGTAATATCAGATGGGTTTTCTTGAGTGTTCAAATAACAGATTAAAAGCAAAGCAGTATTTAAGATCCTTGTATTTTTAACCACCCACACTTTCAGTCGGCTTGTCGGCCATAGCTGACACCTTTTCAGGGGCCTGATTTGGCAAAATCTTCTCCCAGTCTGTTAGCTGCAGCCAGGCTATGTCACCCTCCCTATCTGCTAGGTGCTCTCACAACTAACTTGGCGTAGCTTTCCCGTCAAGGCCTTGGTGCTGATGGTGTCCTAGGGTATTGTGTGGCAATGTAAGGGACAGCTTTGTGAAGGCTGCTGTCCCAGAACAGTCGGGTGGTAATAGGTTTAATTGAAAAAATATTTGTCGCAGAGATGT